GCAGCTATGATATTCATCAATACTAATGGCTCGGTTATTCTCGAGAGTCTTCTTCCCTTCTTCGATCTGTTTTTCCAATTCTGCCCGAATGTCCATAGACAGATGGCAGTGATCAATACATGTGAGGATCTCATGTGGTATAGCCATGATCAACATCTTTTTGCATTTGGTTTCCAATTCCACTAATACCTTTTCATCATTGTTCCAGTTTGCGATTGGTTTGGGCTTATAGTGCTCAGGAACTTCAGGGGTTGTACCAGTAGCTGGAACTCTTGGAATTAAAATCATTGGCACGTATGTAGGATTGTAGAGAAATTCACACATTCTGGGGTGAATTCCCTCCAAAAAATTGATCATGCGCACTTTCCATTGCGGATATTCCTCACGGATAAGCATGGGTGGTTTTAATTGAGATCCAGTACTCATAAACGAGGTATTAACCAAATTTGCCATTGAAATTTGATTTAATAGTGAGTGAAACAGGGTTGATCTGAAGAGAGCTGGTGTTCTAGAAAACACAGATTAATACCAAAAGCAGAATTAATCGAATAAGAATTCAATTCCCGCTCTAATACCAATTGTTGGACCTCAAATTCAGCTTTGGTATTGATCTAATACTCTGAATGAACTCTCTAAGACGATTAAAATGCAGCGGAAACAATAATAAGAACATAACAGAGTAAATTAAATCAAGAACACACAATCAAGATGAGGAAGAAGATGAATGCAGGAGAATTGCTTCAAAAGTTTTTCAATTCATTCAATTGAAAAATTAGACGATTACAATACGGAAGCACACCGATTACAAAGGCCTTAGCTGCTATTTATACTAGTTCCTAACGACCTTACTGACAAGAACTTGATGCGTGAAATCATCTAAGTTGTCCAAATAAAGTCTATTAAGTCCTAGTCACGTGAGAAGCACATGCAGCTAACAACCTTTGAAAAACTGTTGGAAGAGGATCTTCACAGAAGACGAAATCCGCAGATCCTCTGTGAGGCATCTCAGAGGCTCTGCTGTAATTTACTTGCATGTTCTTATTGACAGAGGACCATTTTCCAGAACCTCTGTGAGAGACATCAGAGGTTTTGTCACACTTTACTTGCTCGAATATACATCTTCTATCGCTAGTCCTCTGTTGTCTTTTGTGGAAGATATCCTTCTGTCAAGACTTGCAGAATACTTTTTCATACTTTTACAAGAAGTGAATAATAGAGCTAACAAGCATATCTATGAATGTTTCGGCAAATTAACATATAACATGCAAAATCTGGGCAGTGAAGAAAGATAAAGCAACTAATGCTTCTGTTTAGGCTCAAAAAGGTAAATCGTGTGGACTACACAAATTTATCAAACTCAATTAGTGATAAAAAAGACTTGAAGGGGGGACATATATCCTTCTGATTCAATATCAACTTTCTCCGAATGAGAAATTGAGAGATTGTGAGCTGCATGCTCAAGTGTTATTGAAACACTTATCTGTTGAGAGATAAATGAGTAGCTGGTGGGGTTGTGACAAGAATTGGTCTGGGCTTTGCCTTTTTCAATAATAGTCTCGAAAGAATTGAGAACTAATAGATTATGTGGTATGCCCGGATTTTAGAAGTTTGGAACAGGATTCTCATATTCTTGTAATCCTGACACAACTCTCGTCAATTCTTTTAGCTCACACCAACTACCCCTCTCTTTTTTATATTAATCTCAGCACACAAACCCTTTTGTATATAAAGCTCACTCAGATATGGTTGTCCTCATGGGTAGGTTTGTCGGTTCTGACATTCCATTGAGGTATTTTTGATAAGCACTCAGTCTCTCCTAAGATTTAGCATTATGCACAGTTGATCACAAACAGTTGATCAAAAATATTATTGCAGATAAGCACAATGATCAGATAAAAATTGGTCAAGAAATTTGGCTTTTAAGCACAATCAATAAAAGAATGATGCGACAACGATCAGATTATTCGATATGCGAGAGAAATGAATGAAGATCTGTAAGTACGAGTTTACAGATTCTGATTAAAAAAATGTATATCAATCAAGAAAAAAATCAGAAAAACAACATTTGAATACAAACGAATGTATTATCACCAAAAATGATTTATATATAAGAGACGTGATAATAACGATTTGAAGAATAGCTGAAACAAGTATTGGAGTTATGTACGACGAGAAATTACACAAGTAAAATCTCAGGAAATACCTGTTCAGAAAATGTACTCGTTTCCCAAAAAAAAAATTATTGTCCGAAAAACAGTTATTGAACTTTCTAAAGATTCCCCCTAGAAAGTAGATTATAGAAATATTTCAGTTAAGCTCAAAAATTAAAAAAAAATTGGAAACATGTTTAGCACAAGTTCTAAATTGTGTGTTTAGAAACCACACTGGGTAAAGCACGGGTCCTGAACTGTGTTGTTCAGAAGCCTTTGTGGAACAAATTACAACTCTCCCTGCATTGGTGTATCACTGATATGATATTCTGATTAGCACAAAATTGACACACCTGCAAAACCAGATTAAGTAGATTTTGGTACCCAAATGAACTTGGGTCTTATTTTGTTAGTATGGGGTTGGGGTATGTTGTAACTTCCAAACCATCTATTCCTATTAGATATATTCTTTTTAGCACTTTGAACAGGATGATCAGAAATAGAATATGACCCATACCAATTATTGTGATCATACATGTTCTTACCTTTCAAATTGTTTTGATAGTTGTTATCTCCATGCCACCTGTTGAACCTTTTCTTATTGACAAAATCATTGGTTGTACATGTTGAGAACAAAATTATTCCCTTGCTAAGATTGATCAGATCATTAGTGGATCTCACAATGCAAGGAAGAACATAGTTAGTAACAACAGGTGTATGAGATGAAACAGAATCAACTTTATTAACCCAAATGCTTTTAGTCTTAGAAAATTTATTGGGTGATCTGATAACATACCCTTGATAATACTGATTAGAAGAACGAGAATAGTTCGTAGGAACAGTAGATTTATGACTGCTTGAATAACTGTTCGATTTGGAACAGTCATATAAGCTAGTTTTACACTGTGATGGAGAACCAATTGAGCTTTGTGCACAAGAAAAGTCTTTGACTTTCTGTAAAAGCTGGTCTCTTTCAGCAGTAACTAAATCAAACTTAATTTTAAATTTAGTTCTCATCTTCATCTCAGTTTCAAGGTCTGTCTTCATATTAGACAATTTACTTGAAGTATCCAGGAGTTTACCTTCTAATTCCTTCTGAAGCATTTCAAACTTTCTCTTCTGATTTATTAACTCTCTTTTTTCTTCATCTGAGCTGCTTTTATCATTCTCCAAAGCGATGTCAAGCCACTTTTTCTTATTAGCAAGCTCTTTAGCAATTGTTGTATACTTCTTTGAAGTATTTCTCTTTTCAAGAGCAAATTGCTTCTTTTCTTCATCTAAAGCTTTTCTGCTTTAGAGCAATAGTTTCAGATAATTTTTTTATTTGGCTCTGACAGTCTTCTGAGATATCTTTTTTTTTTCTTTATCATTCTTGGCTCGATCCAAGATGATCAGCTGCTCAAAATCAGATATTTGCTTTAACAGCGTTTTTGCATTTAGCACTAGAGAGTTAATCTTATTTTCATAAGATATACGTTTAGCTTCAAATCTCCTTTCAACTTCTCTTCTCTTATTTTTCTCTTTCTCCAAAACTTTCCTTTCAGCATCCAAATCTTTTTCCGCTTCTAAGACCTTTTCTTTTTCTAAGTTCAGAAGCTTTCTTAGCTTAAACATGTCACTTTCAGAATTATGAGATTTATCAGTTAAGTCATCAGTTTTAGGATGATTTCTACCTGAACAATTTCTTTCAGCTCTCAATTCACTCTGAACTTCTTGGAGTTTGTTGAAAAGACTTTTATTAGCATTACTCCATATTTTCAATTTATTATCAATATATTTTCTAACATTATCCAAAGAATTTTCAAGTTTATTAATTTGATACTCGGAATCATTCTCAATTCTTTCCAATGCTCTTTTATGATCTTTTTGTAAATTTGCAATAAATTCCACATTTGAATGGTTCTCACAAAAAATGTTTATATATTTATGTTTCTAATCCATAATGTTCTTCTCCAATTCAGCAATCTGAGCTCTCATATCTTTATTCTCCTTCTCTAGAATATCTGTCATTAAAAAAAATTAATATTGATTTAGGATCAAATGCAATGAAATCAGTTAAGAGAAATCAAAAACAGTTAAGCTCAATCACACAAACAAAAAAAACACAAAAACTGATGAGAATTTAGAAAATCGACAAAAAAAAACTGTCAAAAATCAGTTAAAATAATCAAAACTGTTGAAAACAGTTAAAAACTGTTAAAATAGTCAAAGACAGTTAAGACTGATTAAAACAATTTATGAGACGCAAAATAGTTCAAAAATCTCTCAAACAGTTTAAAACACAAACCAAAACAGATAAACGAAGATCCAAAAACTAAAATCTAAAAAAAAATTAAACCCAAGAAGATACAAGCCCAAACCAAATGTTCAAAATCAAATAAACAGTAACCTTTACAAATACAGAACAGAAAAAATACAATACAATACACAAATCAATCTTAAATCTCTCTTCACTGTATGCTTAGACTTGAACAGTCCTGTTTTCCTGGCATATCTATCCTTGCTGCTGTAGCATGCAATAACAGTTTGGGAATTAAAATCAATTAATGTTTGATCTTGTATAAAATTTGCAAACCTTTTGTATCCTATCATGCCATCCTGCTGCTGTTCATAATCTCAGAAAGCAAACCCAATACAGCAAAAACCAACAAAGGACAAACAACCACAGTATCAAATAAGAGAGAAATGATGTTCCTAAACAGATTCAAATAAGGATCACACAAATCAAGAATGGCTGACAATCATGAACTATTTTAACAAAATTACCAGATCAACCTTCCCCAATATATGTAATACAAGGCCCATCTTCAACCTGTGCAACAACTTTTTCAACTGATACACTAATGCAAATTGCACAAATTTAAAACAATTACAATAGCAATCACAACATCTGTTACAACAATTAGGTCTACAAAACAGGATGTTGACCAAATCCAAAACCTGATAAAAGCTGACGAGGTAATCAATCAAACAAGTGAAATCAAAATCTTTGTGCTATCCATAGCTTCAAAATTAAACAAAAACAGCTTCAAAATCACAGTCTCTGCTGCTGCATTGACCAGATTTACACAGAAAGCTCAAGACTTCTTCAAATCCATTACAAAACTTCTCTTCTGGATAAAAGCAGAAAACTTCTTGATCACTCTCTTGATATCACAACCATCGATTCAGAAGTAGATTCTCATCCAGATATTCAAGATCAGGTTGTGTGGTTGAAGGCCCAGTTGTGCTTGATGATGGAAGAAAAAAGATCTGCTACACATAGAGCTGAGAAGTTGGAGACAACGCTTATCGAGATGGCTAAACAAGATAATTCTGTAATTGAGTGCAAGGATTGAACATATGGAACAAGAGGTAGCTGAGTTGCAGCAAGTTCTTGGTGATACGAAAGAACAGTAAAGGTTATGAATTCCCTTGCTCAAATGAAAAGAGGGTTGTAGTGACAGAATCTATGTTGGAGGCAACATTGCAATACAATTCTGGCCAAGCTTCGCTACTAAGTATTGAGAAAGAAGATGAATCTGTCAAGCAATTTTCACAAACCTTAAAACGGATGAACCCTGCTCGATACAAGATGATGCCGCATGACAGCAACCGCTCTTCCAAGAAGACTGTTATTGAGTCTTCCACAGTTGAAGGCACAGATTTGAAGACTCTGCGTTTTAACCTTAATCTGAACAAAACTCGATCAAAATAATTTGTGCGGTTTATACAGAATTCAGACAAGATGGTGTCCGATTTATGTGAAATCGGATAAAATGGTCAAACGATCTAGGTCAAAACAGGTTAAGGAGATGAAGCTATGTGAAGAACTTTTGCGATGTATAAGAAATCGGACAGTGAGTCTGAGCGATTTAGAATCCGAACAAAATCCTTGAATCTGGCTAAGGAGATGAACAATTTACCTTGAATCCGGACAACCTTCAATCGATTTAACACTTATCCGGTTAAGCCTCAACCGATTTACCAAGAATCCGGTTAAGCCTTGAACTGTGATGTGCGATTTAACCTGTGAGATTGAGCGATTTACTAACCTGTGCTATATGAAAGAAATTTGTTGACCGACTGTTGAGCGAGTTATGCAAAATTGGATGCTTCCTTGTGTGATTTAGGTTGAAATCGGAGAAGGCTGTGCGATTTAGATGAGCGATTAAGCTTGAAATGTGATGCGATGAAGGTGAAAGGTATGGCTATGGGGTTCCTGGTTATGTGGGGGTTATGATTCTGGTCCAGGTTCTAGTTATGGAGGAGCAAGCAGTTTATATGGCAGGGGAGGAGGCGATTTACCAGTATATGAGCTAAACAGGATCGGGCTTGGGCTTGGGCCGGACAAAAACACAAAAAACGGAAAAAAAAAAGCCAAAATGCACAAAATAGCAATCTACTTTCATAAATTTCTTTATTATAGCATTGTACTTTCAGTTTTTCTTATTACAGCAATGTACTTTTAAACTATTTTTTATTAGGACAATGTACTTTGAAAAATTTACCCATTATAACATTGGGTAACCTTTTGATTTAAATTTACCCATTATACTAGGTTTTCATGYCACCTCATTGTCCACGTAGGCTGTCCAYATGTACTATAGTGATGTGACTTTCTTGCCATATCATTGTACTTTCAAATTATTTTATTATAGCATCTACTAGTTCTTATTAAACACTATATTTTTAATTTTAATATTTAAATATTTTATATGTTATTTAATAAATGTATTAAATAAATTAAAAAAAATTCTAAATTATTCATTAATATATCAATATCAATAAAACTAGTAGAATACAACTTATCTCGCTAACATTTTAAAAAAATATGTGTTTTTTGAAAAAAGGAAAAAAAAAATTGTTCATTTTTTTACCAAAAATATTATCTTTTAAATAATATATTATATTTGTTCAAAAACTTTTTACTTGACGTATAAATATATTAAATTAATTAGACTTTTTTGAATTATTTATTAATATAATAAT